TTGGGTGAACAGAACTAACACGGGAAAATTTAGATTAAGGCTGTGGGTACTTGTGGGCTCGCACAGAGATAGCTCTAAGAGTTTTATATACTATTCAGATTACAATGAATCAACTTGGATTTGGGGCTTTTGAAATCTGGACTTTTTATATATATCAAAGAACAAGATTTCTTATGAACTGTGTCTAAGAACACTACACAGAAACAATTACAGGTTCTTATAAACTGAGTTGCAGAAAGAAACAAATGGGAAATCTGACTTGAAATCCAGCAAACTGGGCCCCAAATTAAACGAAATTAGGGAAAAGGTCAAGCCTTGTGTTGCATCTGAAGAGAAAATAGTTGCAAGTAGTTGTATAAGAAGGTTCTTCGAAAGTTAATGTGGAAGAACTGCTTTTTTTTATTGGCTAAAACAGTAAGCATCAACAGAATTATGTGGATGGTTAAGGAAAGGAAGAGAGTAACTAATGTAATGCTACATCACAAAGGCAGCAGCACTCCTGCTGAATTCTGAAAGGGTTGGAGCCACAGAATTGTGTTGAGGTCAGGTTATCCCACTTTCTTAAATTAAAAATTCTAGACATTATTTTGTTTTACTTAAGAGTAACAGGGAAGACAGGAGAAAGGAAAAGAAGAGGGAAAGAGGAATGGAAGGAAGGATGGAGAAAGGAAGGGAAGAAGGGAGGAAGGAGAGTAGTTTCTGAAATAATGCTACGTAGCATTGGATAGAACTTTCATTTTTGCCTAAATTTAAGTTTCCTTCCATGCTTGAACCATTTTTTTTCACTATCGTTTTACATGTTCCTCTTGGCAGTGTTGAAAGGCACAGCCTCTCCTGTCCCTATGAATAGATGCCTTTCAAATTTACACCTCCTGATTCGACCCATGCATAGAAATACAGACCACAGTTCCAACTACTCTTTCTCCGTTTTTCAACTGATATCCTAACAGCAGTTTCAATGTCAAACATCTGAAATTTACATTTTTGCCTTTCTTCAGCAAAATTGCTGTCTCTTATCTTCACGGGATATGTTGTAAGACTTGTAGGAGATGCCTATTAGATAGATGATATCAGAAAACACTTTTACTGTGTTTTTCCTATACCGGTATGACTAAACAAAACCCGATTTAATAAATTAGGCATAGTAAGGAGATAAACTAGTAATGAAAAAGAACAGTTACAGTTACACACTGTAAGAAATTGACAAGAAGGTAGTCTCCCTCTCAAAATACTTCACTGTATTCTTTCTGTGGTGATTAGGCTTATCATGAGATGCTGTCATGCCCACATGAGGCGATGGAGTGAGGCAAGTGGTGCTGGCACTGTTTGGTAGCATGAATTACTGCCAGTAAACAGCAGTGTACCTGATGGCCCATGTGACTGCTAGGTTACTGAAGGCTGGATTGTGTATGCAGTTTGAATATGCTGGGTAAGGGATTAATTCTTTCCTAAGTAAGAGGGAGTGGAATTTTGCAAAACATTTCATTATGCTACTCAGAATGGAACACAATTTAAAACTTACAGATTTCTAGTCCCTTCTACTTACTTTTTTCAGCCCATGACTGTCTCTGGGTAACTGTTACAATAGAAAGCAAAAATGGTGACCAGAGAGGCTACTTCCTTGAATATTTTAATCATTGATTTAATAATTTAGAAATAATTATCAGCAACCCAGAAATTGCATCATTATGAAATTTGGAACCTATTATTCACATAATGCTTTCTTCGAGCTCATATCAAGTCTACCTCCCAGCCAGACATCTCATGGTAGGTTGTTTCACTTCCAGTGTTCCCTGGGGATATCATTTGGTTGCTTCCTGCTTCTTGAGAGGGGGGCCTCTTAGCTATCCCTGTGTGCAAGTCCAATCTTTATTTCAACATCATCATGCCCAAAGCCCTACATGCTCTCTTTATGTTTTTGATCTTAAAGACATTCCCTTGCCAGGGGACTTTGACAGTGCCGATTCTCTGTATTCTACAACATATAAGGCCAACAGTTCAAGTTAAAAAATAACATTTACATTTCTTCTCCTCAATTGCTATTGCCAATACCTATTTATTCCCAATATCTCAATTTTGTTTCTATTTAACACCTACATAAAAAATACAAGAAGTATGTTTCAATTATTTTCTGTCCTATTTACTTACTGACTGGGACCAAGGCTTAAATATACTATTGTTGTCATGATACCATATTTCACAGACTTTCAAGATATAGTCAGTGCTACATTTTAATACCTGTATAATCAAAACATAACATAATAGTAGCTCATATTTAATTGCGAATTTCCCCCCCTAGTGTTTCTTAAAATCACACACCTTAGATTTGATGAAATGTTCTCACTACACTCAGCCGGTACATTTTCTGCCTCATTTGTCTCCTGTCTTGTGCAGTCCTCGTTAGCACCCAGAATCAGTCTTAGAACTATGACACGTGTATATAATCTCCAAGACGACCTATTTCCACAATTTACCTTTTCCATTGTTTGAACGGAACGATCAGCCTCTATCCCACCTTACTGTCAACTGTTCTTAAATTGCTCCAGAAATTTTTGTGGCCTCATCTCTGTTGTTGATAGGATAAAACTCTAAACCCCTCAGCATAGCAAAAATACCCTACGTACTGGGTCCTAATTTCCTCATTTTGTAGACATCATCAAGTTTCCTGAACAAACTCTCACGCCCCAGTACTCGGTACATGTTTACCTTTTGACTAAATGGAACCATATTTTAGAGTGCATCTCTAACACAGCTCTTGTAAGAATGTCCTAGTTTTTCCTGAGTCATTCTCTATGTGTTTTATACCATGGTGGATGAAAGTCTGATGCCAGACTGCCTAAGTTTTAGCTCCAGTTCATCACTTAATAGCTGAGGAAATTACTAAGTTACCTATTCTATCTGAGTCTGAATTTCTCCACCAGTGACACATTGATGGAAATAGTGACCAAGTAAAACTTTTGACAGAACAGTTAATACATTTATATCACTGAATGCTCAGTATACAACAGCCTATCATTATTCATGTCCTCTAAAAGCAAACTGTTCATTTTCAGACACATTTTTGTTTTTTCTTCATATACTCAACCTCTAATCTGGTTTCTAAGAGGGGTCCAACCTTCCACATGTTCTAACTGGTTGAATTCTTTCAGCACTGGAACAGAAGCAGCATATATTTATCACATATGGCTAAGTGGGCACATTATTTTTAACAGGTTCTGTGTAGAGGAAGTTAAAAATATTTGTGTTAAAGTGGCATATTTTCTACTTCAGAGAGGAAGTCTTAGAATAGTGGTGGGTTTGAAATTGATTCTGAACCAGCTATTTTGGTGTTTTCACCTTCTTGTTAGTCTGTCTCTTGTAGTTTTTAATTGCTCCAGGAACATAGCCTGGTGTCATAACTCCAGCTGGCTGCATCACTGCAAAGGGTGAGTGATGGATGGACTTAAAGAATATTGTGCTTTTAAAGGTCACTGCAAAAATGTACACTCGCAATAAACGGCAAGCAGTTCGTTTTCTCTTGTGGAACAAGCTTGCTGGAGGGTGGAAAGGACGGGTCCCAAGTACAGAGGGATGCACAGGAGGCAGGATCAGAAACAGGCGACCCAGATTCATGACTGCAGGAATCTTACTTGAACTCATCCTTCTCTTCTCTGCACAGTTCTCTGGCTCCTTCATTTTATTCCTCCCCATCAACCTGGGCCCCTCCATCCAGCCTCAGTCATTGCTGGTGGTGAAGACTTAGACACTTTCTGCCTGTGTTACAGAGGGAAGAGCGGACCTGTGTGTATTGGCTTGAGGTGATCATCAGTAACTCTAAATCAGACCCTCTTTGGCATGAAATCCCTGAGTATTTAATCAGAATGTGATGGTGTGCTAACTTTGGACTAGTTTTGATTAATTAAATGAACAGATTTGCCAGCATTATTTTTTAGAAATGCAGTTTGGGCTAAGTATACTGTCTACATACAGCAGGCACACATGATTTATGTGTACAAGCAAACCGTGTATGAAAGGAGCACCCTGTGAGATTCTCTGATGAACGTGAGGTCAGCTGAGTTTCACAGTAAGATAAAACGACTTGGAAGAGCCACAGCATCCCCTTTCACTGTGCGACACCTGATTCAGTCTGTGTTGTCAGTGGTACAAGAGTAATTTACCTATCTAGCCAATGGGTGTTGTTGTATTACAAGGTCATACTAAAACATACTTGACACGTAGTACCTGTTGTAGGTGTGTGATGACTAAATTTTAAACTCCAGTGCATTTTAATATGTGATTCCTCTAGAAAGACTGATTACAGATCATATACATGATCTAGTTATTTATCCCATACACATACCCATGGCTGACTAGATTAAAAAAAATATCCATGGAAGTTGCATAACTGAAACAATACTTTGTAACGAGGGGGTATGTAAAAAGAGCCTTAGAGTAAAACAAGATTTCCATTTACTTTTTTTCTTCTGAAATAGAAATCACTGGTACAATTTTGCCAGGAACAGTTTTACTCCATTTTAGTGCACATTTTAAAACTAAACGAGATAGCTCTAATTGTGCCAAAGAGTGCATTAATGCCATAACTCTAATAGGTTGCCCTTCCTGATAAGCAAAGCACATAAAAATAAATTTCATGATATTTAGAGATGTCACCCTGAGAATCTAGGCCACTAGTAAATTATTCATGGATTTTAGACAGAATATTCACAGTTGATTTGATACCTCGATGAAAAGAAAGTTTATGGTACTTTAAAATAATATAACATTGACAAAAAACTCAGGAGCACTTGGACCGCTGGTGCCAAGACAGTTTTTACAGTTGAGTATGGATTTGTTTGTTCTGCACTGGGTCTTTCATGAGCCTCAACCATCAGAAGCTGAATTTTTTTTTTATTAATAACAATGAATAGGATCGCTTCTGACATTCAGAGATAACAGCTATGGAAGCCTTCTTGGTGGGCCATTCTATTTTATCTTTGATGATTTTTCTTATGTAACCCTACAATGTTTCGCTTCATTTTTTTCTTTCTCTCTTATATTTGGTCCTATATATGAAAAAGGGGATAGTTTCTTATATGGTCTTCAGGAATATATTAGAAGTTTTACATAGAGTAATTTCACTTTTCCCTTAAACTCCATTTTTAAACCTGACTCATAGAATTTAGCTAAATGTTAACCTTTCATTTTTCTGTGTGTCAGATCCTGAGTTTAAGAACTCAGAAGACAGGATGCTACTCTAGCTGTACAGCTCTTTTATAAGACAGCAGAGAGACCTTCCTGGTTCATTTCTGAGCTTCTTGGAACTCCCCAAGCCACACATAATGCCTTCTGTGGTTCAGAAGCACTCTATTGTGATTTCAATGGCTCAAATTCACTCTTTTTAAAAAAAAAATTTCAATGATCTTTACATAGTTGATTAGGGTACAAAGGATCAAGGGCTAGGAGAAAGTGGGTAAGACCATTGCTTCTGCATTCTATTTTTCTTCCTTCCTATGTCTGGGGCAAAGCAGGGAGAGGAAGGGAAAAACTACAGCTAGCCTCCCAACCATCCCAGGGTCCCCAGTTTGGGACATATCATGAAGGTACTGCAAAGGTGGTTTTAATAGTTCAGCAGTTCTGAATTCTTTTAAACTAATCTTCGCACCTTCTCAGTTGAAATTACGAGCACATGTATCTCAGTTTGCCCCACTGTCACCATATGGTGACTATTAACCTACCACCATTTTTTAAGTGTGTCACTCCATGAAGATTTTTCCTGTTTCGTACCAAAGGGAACAGTACAAGCAGTCACTGGACAATGAGCTCCAGTTCTCTCCTCTGCCTCCCCATCTCTGCCTGAGAGTGGTACAGAACATGCACTCTGGAACGAGACTACTAAACAACTCAGCTCCAGCACTCAAAAGCTATGTGACTGTGTCAAGGTCTCCAATCTCTCTGTTCCACAGATTTCTCACCTCTTAAACACAAAACACACATTTCCACGCAGACCTGTTTTGAGGCCTAAATAAATGCCTACCTCATTTCTCAGAACACCACTTCAGTAAACATGCAAAAAATTGGTAACAAATATTTCAAGCGTAACATTTAATTGAAATGGCAGGGTTTTTTTTTTTTTTGGTGGGGGGCGTTATCTTTAAATATTAGCTCCTCTGGTACCACAGAAATTTAACCATGAGTCAACTGTTTATTAATAGAAGCTCATATATCTCTGCTGAACATCACACCAATGGCTGGGAGATGAAGGCTGTGATACAGTGAGGATATCCCTGAACTTAAAGTTTACAAAGTCAGGGACTCTCTTCTCAGATTTGCCCTTAAAATCAGCTTGGTTCTGATCAGTTTTTTAACCTTTGTGAATATCAGTTTCCGTGATCAGAAAATAGACACTATCATTAGCAGCCGAGATTCACAGGTGGGATACATTTTATATCCAGACCAAGTGATAAATATTCAACTCAACTTTTTCTGAACCTCAGATGACTAATTGAATACATTGGCAGACAAAACACAGAAAGAAAAATAGAACCAACTTTATGCCTGATTTTAAGTAAAAACCCCTAAACTTATAAGTTTCCCAAGAAATCGTGACAATGGAAGGCTTTTTCAAGAGATTATCATCTGTGGAGGCTGCCCAATGAAGGAAAAAAGAAGTTGAAAATAACATTGTTACAGTAAAAGAATGACTTCACAGTCTTTTTTCTTTTTAAATGGCAGGATAATTTGTTTATGAAATGCATTATCCTTTCTTTGCTTATGTTTGTCTTTTTCAACTTGTAATTAAGGTCTCCTTACTGTTCACCAACTGAATTTTTAATCATAGTCATTCTGTAGATGCATTTCATTAAGGGAGCCTATAAACCGTTAACACTGGTACTCCATTTTTCTCTTAGATAGTGAAGCAGAACAGTTCTCTGGCATGTTCAATGGATCAGTTTGCCACCACTCCCCTCCTCCTAATTTTGGTGAAAGGTACCTTGAGGCATAGATTTATCATCCAACTTGGAATTAGATGAATTTTGGCTGTCTAGAATCCTATGAATTCAAGAGAACATAACCATCACCAAGCTTACTTTTCATTTTTTTTCAGATGACAAATATTGAGAACTCTAAAGTGAAGTGATTTTGTTAATATTCAATTCCTAAGCTTGAAGTATTTACTGTATTTGCTTCTAAACCCTCAGTCTTTCCAGCTTCTGTCTTAGCAGATTCTTCTCTAATACAACAGGAACTCCACTAGATGATTTTTCACAGGGGAGCCATAATACATAACTAATAAAATGACAATTATAGGATAATATACAATTCCTGTCATGAATTTTTTCTTGGAAAATGAAGGTAAGCTGGTAATAACAGCCTTGATGTTTCATGATTTCACCAACTTTTAATTGCCCTGCAAAGTCTGAAATTATGCTGACTTTAGAAGGATTATGATTTCCCACCATTCCATGGCAACAGATAGGCATGTCTGTATTTCTGCCTGCTGTCGACTTTGCAGATATAAAACCTGTGAAAAATCTTGTAATTTCTCTCTCCTTCTGTGGGTCCTATAATTCCTTTCTTGATAAACTGAAGTCTGAGTTTCACATTCTTTCCTTAGATGAATTCAAGGATGGGGAGCATTTGGTCCATGGATATAACAGGTCTGTGAAATCACTTGATCTGACTCTGCCATGGCCACCACAGGCAAGACACAAAATCCAATAAAACCATTGGTATATGGTGAATTTTTAAGTTGACAATCTTGTTTTGTCCACAAATGATGTTATAGGGATGGTCCATGGTAGGAAAAAACCTTCCCCACCCCTACTGTAATGACTCTTTTCATAGATGAAGTAGGATCTTAGTGTTCAAGGGCAGAAAACTGGCTGTTGTTTAAGCCTGCAATCCAGATGCCCACACTACAGATCAGAGTCCCTGGGTTTGAACCCTGTCTCTGCTCCTGATTTCATATTTGTGCTATGCAGATCCAGGGAGGTGACAGTTGATGACTCATCGGCAGGGTCCCTGTCACCCTCACAGAAGAGCTGAACTCCACTGCTGATTTCTTCTTTTGGCCTGGCCCAGACTCAGCTAGTAATGGTATTTGTTGGGGGAATGAAACAGTGAGAAAGTTTTATTTATGTATGAGAAAGAAAGAAGAGGACCACACTGTACAAATCCTTGCTTTCCCATCATGTAATTGGCACAGGGGACTATGGCCCTTTCCCAAATATTTCTCACAGCAGTAAAGACATAAAAACAATCCAGATGCCCCTCAACCGATGATGAGACAAACTATTGTACGTCTATTCCATGGAATATTACACAGATCTAAAAGAAGACAAACCCTACCATCTGTGACAAAATGGTCACAACTGGAGAGCATTGTCCTTAATGAAACAAGCAGGTCCCCAAAGAAAAACTATCCTATGTTCTAAGAAAGCCTTTACACAAAGTACAAAATAAATAGATGTAGGTAATCAAGTTGATATTATATATCTTCATAAATGAACTGTATAATGGAGACTAGCATACTGCATCGTATTGTTCAGGGGCAGGCAACTGACCTAGTTTCTAAGCCTCCAGTTATATTGCAGTACATGTCTCTATACCTGGATAAAGTAGGACTCCCAGCAAAACATGCAAGTAAATATATCTTCAGAGTATGCTACTAGATTTTCTATCTTTGCCTATACCTGCCATATCATGATACACTTAAATAATAGAAAGCCAGACTTAAATTGTTATGAAGTGACTATACTACTGTGATAACTTGGGGTAGGTAAAATGGTGTGGGGGAAACAGGGAGAAAGGAAAGGCAGGGTGATGGAAAATCCCCATACCTACAAAACTGCGCCATGGTAAATTATAAGTATACCTGAATAATAAGAATGACGTCAATCTTAGTAAATATAACATTTCTGCTAAGTAAAGATTGTTCCAAAATATCAAGGATTTACACATTGCCAGGGAATAGTGGAAGGTTCTTGTGTTGTAACTCACTTATGAGTTACAATCCGGACAACCTCAGGATGCCTTACTTCCCAGTCAGCTTGATCTCCCCAGCAGCCTTCTCCCTCCACGGTCCCTTCCTCCTAGTCTGTGCACAGAACACAGGGCTCTGTGTTGAACCTAGCAATCTATGAAGGCGTGGTGCAGCCATGGCCCTCTTCCTGAGGTACTGACAAGCCACTTCCACATAGCTCTCTCAAACAGTTTCTCCTCTTATCTCCGCTTGCCTTCAGAAGTCTGTTCTTGCGCTCATTTTCCTGGAAATTGCATTTTTCTCTACTATTTAAACTGAACAGAAACATTATCATTGACTTCTATTTTCCCTCAAAAAGGAAAGTCTCCTCAGGCTGGGAATGGGTTACTTGTTTGAAATGGAGGAGAACGTAAGCACATCAAAACAAATCCCGCCCCAGGTATCCTGCTGCGTCTGTTCACGTGCCAACCTTTCCAGCTTGCTTGCAGCGGACGTGGTTTGTCTTGTGTGTTCTGTCACTTTTGTATCGTTGTATGCTCTGCATTTTGTCTTTTTACTCCCCCTTACCATGTTCATCTGCATTTCTCAGTCAAAAATTAATTTCCACTTAAAATATTATGCTCTGAAATATATGTGATTACTTGTCGCAGTTGCCATACTGTGCAACAAATCTCAAGGACAGTCCTACTGTGTGGCTGAAGCTTTGTTTCCTTTGCTCAACATTCCCCCAGCTGATATCACTCATGCACTGTGGAAACACCACTTCATTCTCACATGAGTCGAGCTTTTGTAGATTTCACATCTTGATGATATCATATTTACTTTCCTGTATCTGGACTGTCTCATGTAAAACCATGTATTATATATTCATCCCTGTTGTTAAAAATAATCTCTTTTAGGCCTGGCATGATAGCGTAGTAGTTAAGGTCCTCGCCTTGAACGAGCCAGGACCATATGGGTGCCGGTCTAATCCCAGTGGCCCTGCTTCCCATCCAGCTCCCTGCCTGTGGCCTGGGAATGCAGTCGAGGATGGTGCAAGACTTTCGGACCCTGCACCTGAGTGGG